AAAATGTTAATGTTTGACTCATCCTGGCCCCTGGCGCCCAACTGCGCGAGTAGGGTGCTTTTTGACAGCGTTTTCTTTTTTCATAATTTGAGGCTGTTTTTTGCTGGCATGGTCAGAAAAATGTAAGGATCGTGTTTGCAAAATTTCAGAATTTTTTGACGTCATTTTTTATTTTATTTCATTTTTTAAATACGAAAAAAAGAGAAAATCATAAAAAAATAGAATATTCATCAAAAATTGGTGCCGATTTTTGCATTAATTCCAAAAAATCATGTATTAATTTTAGAATGTAAAACATAAATATAAATTTTAATTTTTTACTCATCCCAGCCCGTGAACGACCCACTATGCGGGCGAGGTGCTTTTGCAGTGTTTGCTTTTTTCATAATTCGAGGCCATTTGTTGCAAGCATGCACATAAAAATGTAAGGATCGTGTCTGCAAAACTTTAAAACTTTTTGGCTTCGTTTTTATTTTATTTTAATTTTCAAAGACGAAAAATATGGAAAATCATAACAAAAAAATAGAATATTCATCAAAAAATGGTGCCGTTTGTTGCATTAATTTCTAAAAATAATGTATTAATTTTAGAATGTAAAACATAAATAAAAATGTTAATGTTTGACTCATCCTGGCCCCTGGGCGCCCTACTGCGCTGGTCGGGTGCTTTTTAGCAACGTTTTCTTTTTTCAAGGCCATCTTTTGTAGGTATGCTTAGAAAAATCTAAGAATCTTTTCTGTAAAATTTAAGAATGTTTTGACTTCGTTTTTTTTTTTTTCAAAGATGAAAAATGGAGAAAATCATAAAAAAAAAATGGAATTTTTTGTCTTTTTGTCAAAACGACGTCATTTTTATCATCAATAGAAAAACGACATCATTTTACTCTTGAAAGTATTTTTTTTGTTTTTGTCAAAACGACTTTGTTTTCAAGCATCAGAAAAAATGCCATGTCTTTTTGCTGTTAAAGTTTTTTTGTATTTTTTAAAACGGCGTCGTTTTGATGCATCAATAAAAATGACATGTCATTTTGTTTGGCAATTGTCATTTTGTCAAAATGACATGTCGTTTTTTGGAAACAAAACAACACGTCATTTTACATTGGAAGAAAAACGACACGTCATTTTTTGGAAGACAAAAATGACACGTCATTTTTTCATGGGAAGCAAAACGACACGTCGTTTTTTTAAACAAAACGACACGTCATTATCATTGGAAGAAAAATGACACGTCATTTTTTTGGAAGACAAAACGACACGTAGTTTTTCATGGGAAGCAAAACGACACATCATTTTAATTGGGAAAGAAAACGACGCGTCGTTTTACATGTGAAGAAAAATGACATGTCATTTCTGATGGAACGAAAACGACATGTGATTTTACGTGGGAACCAAAACGACATGTCATTTCTTTTGGGAATCAAAACCTTGTCTATAATGGTCTATTAATTCAAATATCTTCCTAATCATTTGTACTAACTAAATAAAGTTCAACATAATTTCAAGGTACTTGAATATAAATATTTGACTGGAAATGTCATACATCGTTACGTGCTAATCCCCTCTAGGATTTCTCACACTAAAGAACCAATATTGAAATATTCTACCGAGGTTGACTTCCAATTAAATCATTAAAGAGTAATGTAACTCATTCATGAAAGTGGACATCATCGTTCAACAAACACATTATCGCCTCATTATATATTTTTATGAAAGTCATGGAAGCAATCGTTGGGTTTAAATATTCATGAAATAACTTAAAAAATCATCAATTATAATTAACGTCCAAATTTATACAAGTTATATGTCTTAAAATTCTCATTTATTGTGCTTTCTTCATTGGACCCTTGATTTAGATCCTTTAAGAAAGTCATCAAGACACTTTAAACCGTCAAAATTCATGCTAATTCATAATTTCAAACATAACTTGATCATAGTTAATCATAATGATGGTTATGCTCAATAGATGTATCATTTCATCAGCCTATCTTGTGAGATCTCGCTGATATGGAAGTTTACATTCCATTATAAAGGTAATAAATACACAGGATTTTCTCAGGTTTTACAGCAGATGTAACCTTTGTTGAGGACAATCAATACTTTCATACTCCTTATCTTCAAGGGGAGATTTCATTCATGGAAGATAAGGAAAAAAAAATATTTTCTGAAGTTGTCCAGTCCAGCTCTGTTGTGCCTTTTACACCCATAACACAGACTTGCCTTGAGCCGTTTGCTAAGGTTTATTCAAGGAAGAAAGGGCCATTCTCTCAACTGATGCAATTACAATTGTCTGAATCAAACTCAGTGACTGTTGAGGTAAGTTCTCCAATTACTTCTCCCGATTCCAAAGATCCAAATATCCACAAAGAAAATGATCTTGACATTCCTATAACACTTAGGAAAGGGACTAGGACTTGTACCCAACACCCCTTGTATCTTTGCATGACCTACAACAACCTTTCTTACTAGTCTTAACAGTATTACCATTCCCAAAACATTATCCAAGGCACAAGAAAATGAGAATTGGAGGAATACCATGAAGGTGGAGATGGAGGCCCTAGAGAAAAGCAAGACATGGGATTTGGTGAAATTGCCAAAAGGAAAAAAAAACCAGTTGGATGTAGATGGGTCTTTACTGTAAAATATAAGTCTGATGGCTCACTAGAAAGATATAAGGGAAGGTTGGGTGCCAAAGGTTATACACAAACCTACGGCATAGATTATCTTGAGACATTTACTCCAGTTGCAAAGATGAACACCGTGAGAGTGTTACTGTCATTGGCAGCTAATTTTCGATGGAGATTGCAGCAATTTGATGTCAAGAATACCTTCCTACATGGTGATCTTGAGTAAGAAATCTATATGGAAGTTCCTCCAGGATTCGGGTCTATAAATGGAGAACAGATAGTATGCAGGTTGAGAAAGGTGTTGTATGGGCTCAAGCAATCTCCAAGGGCTTGAATTGGAAGGTTTACCAAGGTTATGATAAATCTTGGATTTAGACAGAGTCAAGGTGATCATACTTTGTTCGTGAGACATTCAGCTTCAAGGGAAGTCACGGCATTACTGGTGTATGTAGATGACATCATAGTGACTGGATATGATATGGAAGGAATTGGAAAATTAAAAGAGTGTCTGGTGAAAGAATTCATATCAAAGATCTTGGTGAGCTTAAGTATTTTCTTGGCATAGAAGTGCCTCACTCTCGACAAGGGATTTTCATATCCCAACAAATTTACGTGATTGATCTTTTAACGGATACAGGTAAACTGGGGTGTAAACTAGTTGACACACCTGTAGAGTTCAACCATAAGCTGAGTAATGTTCCAGAAGATGCAGCGGTTGACAAAGACAGTTGCCAAAGGCGTGTTCGAAAATTGATTTATTTATCACACACAAGACCAGACATTGGATATGTTGTTAGTATGGTGAGCCAATTTATGCATAACTTAAAGAGACTCATCTAAAGACCGTGTATAGAATTCTACAGTACTTGAAGGGTTCACCTGGTAAGGGAATTTTATTTCAACGAGGAGAAATGTTAAGTCTTGAAGCCTATACTGATGTCGATTATGCAGAATCGATTGATGATAAAAGATCAACCTCAAGGTATTGTACATTCTTGGGTGGAAATCTTGTTACATGGAGGAGTAAGTAACAAAATGTGGTTGCGAGATAAAGTGCAGAAGCAGAATTGAGGTCAATGGCGCATGGAATTTGTGAACTCCTATGGTTGAAGATAATTTTGGAGGATTTAAAGGTGAAGGTAGAAAGTCCAATGAAGTTGTTTTGTGATAATAAGTCGGCCATCAATATTGCCCACAATCCAGTGCAACATGATCACACGAAGCATGTAGAAATTGACAGGCACTTTACAAAGGAAAAGCTTGATTGTGGCTCAATTTGCACTCCATTCGTCTCCACAAAGAATCAGCTTGCAGATATTCTTAAAAGGGGCTTTCTAGTGCAGTTAACCAGAGTCTAGTTGACAAGCTTGAAATGGATAACATCCATTCATAAGCTTGAGAGGGAGTGTTGAAAAAAACATGTTTTTCCTATTTTAGGAAACCGTGTGATGTAATGGGATTGTGTAGTTAATTGTTTTTTCCTAATTCTAGGAGATTTGATTTTGATTTCTAAATTAGGAGATTTCCGGTTTATTCTTTCCTAGTTTAGTCTCTATGATTGTAAATATATATATATACATGTAAAACTACCCTAAAAATATAGTTTTTGATCGATTGTTTCATTCCAAACTCTGAGATTAAATAATAGGTAATTCACAAAACCATAAAATTTTGATATAATATCATGGAATTAAAAATATCCAGAATACGAATTCATTAAAAACATGCTCATATCATATAATAAAATTCATCGGCCAAAACCAAACCCTAGAATTCTCCTTAACACCATTCTACGAATATCACATAATTTATGAAGATTTTCAAATCTATTATTAAAACATAGAACTCCTACCTTGAATCTTTTGGAATTCTCTCAACAAATACGATGACTTGCACGTAAAAATCCCCAAAAGAATTCCTCTAAAGTTGTGTGAAAGAGAAGAGGGAGGAGACAGAATATCAACTTCGGGGTTGGAGAGCGATGGAGTCTCTCTTAGAAATTCATTGAATGATGGTGATAGGGCATAAACGTGTATTGAGAGGAGGGAGAGGGAGAGAGGAGAATAGTTATTGAGAATAAGTGAGAGAGATTTTAGAATGGAGCTTTTTAGAATGCTTTAAGTATATATAGATCTCTTAGGTCAAAACATAAGAGGAAATCCTTGTTTTTCTAATTATATATATATATAGAGTATATATATATATATATATATATATTGCACCCGAAGTCACCTTTTAATTAGATATACATAATATTTAAATATATTATAAAAATAATCAAATATAATATAATTAAAACGTGGTAAGCAAATTTTAATTTAATAAATGTAGAATAAAAAGGGCATTATAAAATTAAATCAATAATTTAATTTGGGCACCTAACGTCATTTAAAAATCATAATTTAAACAACAAAACATGTCACAATCATATCACAAAGTGCAGCAACATAAATAAAATTCTGTTTCAACATACAAATTTGACATAAACCCTTTGAGCACATCGATCCCACGTGGTCGTCACCTGCAACATAACTAGATAGAAACGTTAGTTTACTTATTTAAAATATCATAAAATCCAATTATCATTATATTAGACCGTTAAATTCCTCATTAATCTGTTAAAGAAAAAGGCGGGCGTTACACGACCTTTCAAGGTTCTCATGGCAATGTGCTTCAGTGATTTCTGAGTATGGCACGCACGCTATGTTAGAAGAAGCTGACAATGAATAGATCATAAAAATAGTAAGTATGTTTGACAGAAACAGTGAACGATCTCAACTTCAAGTGCGTTTCAATGTTTTTACACACTATCTATACAAACTCCCAAGCAAAGAAAAAAAAAAAAAAAACCTTTAGAAAGACGTAGTATTGACCAAATAGATATACAAACGTAAATCAGTATCATGATTGCTACTTTGACTGGGGGCATCCTCTGAACAACAATCTAGAAGCAAAAAAAGCCACCAAATACTTAATAGAAGAATACATTCCTCAAAAATTCAAGTTAACTGATCTACTAACACGTATTTGAAATGATACAAAAAGAAAAGAGGATATGAATCCTCAATTCAAGCAACTCTAAGGCTAAGAACTCCCCAACTATCTCAATCCTTCACAAGCTAGCCTATATGCTTACTGATTAAAACATATTTATATTAGCATATTTAAGTCTTCACCGAACACTACTAGACTGTACTGAAATTTAAAATTTCTATTTCTTAATGACTTCGTCAGCTTCCAATAGCCAAAAAAAGAGTAAAAAAAAATCTAATTTTTCTGGAATAAGACAACAAAAAGACTTAGTCCAAAAGCATCGATGGAATAAGTGCTTACATTCTCTCATGGTCTGAAAATCAAGGTGATCATCTTGGTCATCCACATCAACTTTTTAAGTAAAACCATGAAAAAGTAGCTGAAAGGTACAGTTGAGTGACAAAATGCATGGAACTTATTAATTGACACTTAGTTCACCTTATATAGCAAGCAAAACTACTGTGAAAAACATAAGACAAAGGCTAATAATACTTTTGGGCCAAAAAAAATGGAGATTGAATAAAACTTCCCGGAACAACTATGAGGCTTCAATATATTGTGGTTTTAGCCGCCAATATTGATGCTCGTTCACTTACTGTTGTTTGAAATACAGGTGCTAAAGCTCAGAAGAAACAAAGTTCCATCACTTTATCCTGAAGTTGCTCATCATACTAAGCCCCATCACAGTCCTTTCCTGCTTCTATCCCTGTCCAGACCAAAATATAAATGAGTCAATTCAAATTGATTTTCACAATGGTAATTAATGACAACTCTTTGCTAACAAGGTAGGTAGAACTGATAAAGAGCAGTGCTTCTGATTTCTGGTATGTGCACAGGACAAAAAAACATGAATATTCAATTGACTGCCTAGCTATTCGATCATGGAAAATGTAGACCAGAATTCAACCTCTCCGTCATCTTGAAAAGCCTTCCTCCAACATCAGGATTCCCGTAAATGATGGAAATTGAATAGACAACCTAGTCAAATTAATAAAAAAAAAAAAAGAAAAAAAAAGGCAAAGATGCATACAAACATTCTTCTCTAATGTGAACTGAGCCAAGGTTTAAAATTGTGCATTTGGGTACTGAGGCGTTTTATTTGAAGCCTCAAGGCGTTTCGAGGTGTAAACCTCAAGATTTTAAAAAATATACATATAAATTATGGAATTCATATGTTTTCCCTTTCACAGACCATATATCCTCTAATTAAGAAGTTCTAGTTTTTATTATTTAATTGAGAACATTAATTTAAGAAGAAAAAGACATAACCAGCCTGTGCAAATAGAGGTAATTTCAGCAGATAGTAGCAGCACTCCTCTTCTGTATAGGGTTTCAATCAGAAAAGTGCCGGATTTAGTAGTTTTGTCTAAGAAATTCGTTTTTCTCTCTTTTCCCCAACCTCTGAAGAAACTCGTCCTTGTTGGCTGCTGCTAGAACAGGTTATAGATGGACATTCTAGGGAGTTCTAGGGTTTTTTTTTCTCTTATCATATTAGAAATGAGCTTTTGTCTTTAAAAAAACTGGTTGACTTAATTTTTAAGGCTGAAAAATCATTTTTGGGCTTTTGAGCCTTTGGTTTTTTAGTTTCAACCCGGTCTTTTCTAGGCCATAAGGCTATTTTCCTCACCCTGAGGCACGCCTTATGTTCGGATGTTACCAAGTTGGAAAGAGAAAAAAACACCAACCTGTCAAATAGTTTTGTAAAAGACATCTACTGTTTTGGGCTTTCATACTTAGCAGTGGGAATGGTTCCTATGATAGCACCCTCCCCTAAAATCCTACTACCATGTCATAATTCAACAAAAATCAAGCAAAAAAACATGTGACAGAAATTTCAAGCACTTACAAAACTCAAGTTGTCTCCGTTCCTCTAAAGAGTTCATAATAGGTATGCAATTGATCCGATTGTTGTGTACTCCGTTGCTAGATTCTGTAACAAACCACATACTTGAATTGTAAGAAGCAAATTACATTAGTACCTACCACCTAGAGAAAGTTCACTCTGTCTCTCACACACACACATGCACATATCCTTTAGCTGTTTGGTTCCCATGATTTTCCAGCTTCTTGAGAAAAGACGAGTAATTCATCTAGAAATAGCCAGATAAAACATAAAGGCTGCAAAACTCAAAAAACTAACTGGAGGTGCAAGACCACATTTCCTTTATCAGTTATGCACACCATTAAAACAACATACTTCGTCCGCCTAGCTTCCTGACCTTTAAAAAGAGAAAACACAGTAATAATTACTACAAAATAGGTGGATCAGAATCATGAAAGGCAAATGACAACCAAAATAAAAGCTTATGATATCTTGTATGCTCAAGGAAACCAAAAAATAAATGCAATTGAAAGCCTAGCAATTAGATCTCAGCATCGTAAAAAAGCTTGTTTAGTGACGGCCACTACTAGACTAGACTTGTGTCTTCCCAATATCCTAAAATTTCTTACTACAATATCAATCTCAAGTTCACAACTAGAAGCTGAATAGAAAAGAAAATCCAACAAAACTAATATGGACTTTTAGGGAAAAAAAGGACCACATCCTTCTACAATAGCACGGAATCAATTGCCTTAGTGCACATCACATACAAAAGAAATATAAAACTCAAATGAATTTGTTGAAAAACATATTTGTCTTGAGCTTTGTACCAAGCAATGGGAGTGGTGTTTCCTATGTTAATATCGTCTTTTCAAACTCTACCAAACCTATAAAGACACCGATTTAATTTTAACTAGAAAGAGAAACCATGATGACAACATTTATTTTTGACCGCTTACAGGATATGCAAATGATGCTAGTACGCAATCTGTTTTTAACAAATAATAATATTAATAATATTAATAATAACAAAAGTGTGAGTCTTTCTAACGAATCAGATGTTTTAATGCCAAAATCTCATCACAAACAATGCGTTCAGGGGATCCAAAGGCAGAACAATCATCAGCATCTGTCTCGAAATAATAAGAAAAGAAAAAGAAAAGAAACAAAGCCCACTCTACCAGCTTTTCCTTGAGAGAATCAGTAAAATTTTGAGCATGGTCGTTGGGCAAAGTAATACTATAAATACAGTCTTTGCTAACAATAATTTCTACTCGAATTCCTCAACCCATAATTCATAAAACCAATTAATAAATCAAGCCATGTCTCTCCTAAGGACAACAGATTTGTAGCGGAAAAAAAATGAAGAACCAAACCTTGCTTGTCCTTAACCAAGTTTAGAAACGAGAGATTAGAAAATGCAGAGGAACAAAAATGAAAAAAAAACAAATGCTTGGGTTCTATTCCAAGGTTGAATGAATAAATAAAACCCAAACGTTTTTCTAAAACCATGAATTCAGTAACAAGGTAAATACAATCATGAACCAAATTGATGCAACAATTTAAACCTAGAACAATAAAATCACGAAATAAGAAACATAAGCAAAGAAGAGGAAACATGAGAATTTTCTTGTCCTTAACCAATGAAGAACCAAACCTTTCTTGTCGTTAACCAAGTCTAGAAACGAGAGATTAAAAAATGCAGAGGAACAAAAAAAACAGAGAAAAAAATGCTTGGGTTCTATTTCAAGGCTGAATGAATAAATAAAACCCAAATGTTTTTCTAAAACCATGAATTCAGTAACAGGGTAAAGACAATCATGAACCAAATTGATGCAACAATTTAAACATAGAACAGATAAAATCACCCAAATAAAAAACATAAGCAAAAATGAGGAAACATGAGAATTTTCTTGTCCTTAACCAGTGAAGAACCAAACCTTTCTTGTCGTTAACCAAGTTTAGAAACAGGAGATTAGAAAATGCAGAGGAACAAAAACAACAGAGAAAAAAATGCTTGGGTTCTATTTCAAGGCTGAATGAATAAATAAAACCCAAATGTTTTTCTAAAACCATGAATTCAGGAACATGGTAAATACAATCATAAACCAAATTGATGCAACAATTTAAACCTAGAACAAACAAAATCACCCAAATAAAAAACATAAGCAAAGAAGAGGCAAATAAAACCTTGAGGACACTGAGCGGAAAATGCTACAATAGAATCCATGAACCCCGCGGAAAAGCAATGAACTGAATTATAAAATTCACTACGATAAGCACTATTACGGAAGCGAAAATAAAGCATCATGTGAATTACAATTATAGAGTTATAACGCAATATCCACTACTTTAGTAGTGACACCAAGCAAATCAATTTTCGAGTCTCTACATCACGTAAAAGCAATAACACGTCAAGTGGAAATTTTTGTTAGCATATTTCGTATTCTTAACAAAACAATCACGGATATCAAAAGCCAAAAAATTAACTTTTGCATCTCAATGAAACATATCATTCTAATACAACTAAAGTCCATAATTTCAAATTTCGAATTTAGAATCTTCAATCTTTGTTCAAATATTTTAACAAAAGATAAGTAAAAAAGCAACATAATACAGAATTTTCAAAAAAAAGAAAAGAAAAGAAAACAACATAATACGAATACAAAATAAGCAAGCCAACAATAAAGAACCGCAAAGAAAGAGAGATGGAGAGGCAAAAAAGCTCTTGAGTTTTGGGATGGAAAAAGAAGAAAAAAGAAAAAATGGAAACAAAGGTAGAAAAGGACAGAAAAATTGGGATTTTGAAAAAAAAAAAAGAAAAGAAAAGAAAAAGAAAGAGCAAAATGAATACCAAACGACAAAATCCCAAAAAAAAAATGAAGCGCTGTTACATGTGCATAATAGTAAGATGAACGGCATGTGCTAGTTGCATTAAGAAGGTTTAATGTTGGTATTTTTTTTAAATACAATCTTGGGATATAATTTTATACCCAAGCTAGAGCCGTCAAGTAATCTATTCATCTATTGTCTTGATAAATATGACAACAAAAAAGGTGTAGAAATTAGTACACTAAAGTTTATGTTTATCAGTATCATTAGAAAGATCATATAGAGATCATAGCAGCTAGATTCTTCTTCCAGACAATATTTTCCTTTGGAAGCTTTGAGACATGATGTACTATTGAATAGTTAAAAATCAGACGTGGATGAAAAAAAAAAACCCGACCATGTAAGTTACATAATTAATCATATATGAAATCAACCACATTGTGTGTAATATCATGAACAAATGGAGGAGATCATATATAAAAGGATTAATTTCAAAAATTCCCTTGAACTATGACCCTTGTAACACTTTGCCCCCCGAATTTTAAAAAGTAACATCCGTTCCCTCCGAACTTTGTTCCGTTAACAAGTTTTCCCCTTCTGTTACAATGAATGACGGAATTCAACACGTGTCAGGCACATGACTCATCTGCGGAGGGTATTATCGTAAATTAACGTGCAACAACCTTCCAAGCGTTAAAGAAAGAAAACCTAGATCTTGAACAACATAAAGATCAGGAAAAAAAAGAACAATGAATCCAAGATGGAATCATCGGAGTTGAAAGGCTCTAGACAAATACTGCAAGAGTCTTCTTCAAAGTTGTCGTTGGAAGGAGGCGACGATTGCGATGAAGACGAAGCCGGAGCTATGATCGCCATTGAATTCTCTGCATAACCAGAAGAAGACAAAGACGAAGAAGACGCGAAAGCCACCATTGAAGAGTGGAAATGAAGGAGTGATATGCAATGTTGAAGAGAGAGAGTGTTCATGGAAGAGAGAAGAAGTAGAAGGGAGATGAAGAAGAAAGGAACCCTAGAAAAAGTGGTAGAGAGGGAAAGAGAGAGTGAAGATGATGGTCAAAGAAAATATGGTAAATTTTTCCAGTAAAAATGAGAAATTATCTTATTAGGAGGGTACGAGCGTAATTACGCTTTCAATTCTCACTAAATAATTGACACGTGGCAAGTCCGTCACTTATTGTAACAGAAGGGAAAAACTTGTCAATGGAACAAAGTTCGTGGGGAGCGGATGTTACTTTTTAAAATTCAAGGGGCAAAGTGTTATCAGGGTCATAGTTCAAGAGAAATTTTTTAAATTAATCCTATATAAAAACTAAGAGAGATATCAACCTTAACAACTTATCCATCAAAAACATATCAAATTGGAATCAACTGTACCATGGCTATAATGAAAGAGAAACTAACACTACCTGCCCGCTTAGGAGACAAGCTCACCTAAGCATATAAAGAGAATTTATGTAGTATATCAAGTTGCAAAATATAGATGAGTAACAATAAATAGCAATGTGGTTTTATATATAAAAACATATACATGTGTGTGTCTATATATATAACATATATATAAACACAGTAAACGCATATGATGTTGAAAAATCGTGGGACTGGTTATTTTAGATGAAAAAAGTTCTAGCAGTATAAGTTTGGTTAAAACAAGGAGAATAGGTTTAAAAAGAAAAATGATAGAAATAGTTAACAAAAAAATAAGAAAATCCAATTGACATGTTCAGCCATCAACATTTAGATACATTATTTCAAAGGCAGAGAATTATGAAGGTCTCTTGTGTTCATTTTCTTCTCAAAGAAAAGGAAAAAAAAAAATTGAAGATTTGATCGTGGTAATTCTTTTTTTTCTTCCACCTGAATGTATAATCAGGCTTGACAAAAGAAGCATAAGATTTGTTGCTATTAGATGATACACCAATGAAAAATTTAAAGAATTCCATTCTTATATTCAAAGACAAACCAAATCACCAAAGTTAAATCATTCGAAAATACAAAACAAAATAAAAACAGACTTCTTGACAACTAGTTATTTAAACTCACTTCCATTATTTCTAAGGTAATTCCTCCAACATTTACGCATTCAATAGAAATGAAGAGTTAAACATACATTAGAATCCATAAACGAAAAGAATGAAATAAATCACGTCTACTTTGTTATAGATACTGATGAATAGAACAAGTCAAGCTATAATTTCATTTTAAGCCACCAAATTTTATTGAAGTCGCCTTTCTCCTTCCTTTTACTGTAGTGCAGTAACGCAGACAAAGAAATTGACCAGAAACACCAAAAGTAAGGTGGCAATACGGGTTTGAGAGTGGAGGGTAGAGACACTAACATAGAACTTAATGTGATAACTTGTGTAGGATCTCCAACGAAGAACAATAAAAAGAAAAATGAAAAAAGAAAAACAAATTTTCTAGAAAATGCATGTACCTTTATGAAGGAAGGTCCAAGTTAAAATATTGTCTTCTATAGCAGCAACAATAGGATCCTACAAACAAATTTGACAATCTAAAATAAGATACAAATGACTCACGGAACAAAGTTTTAGAGTACAATCATAAAACCAAAAATCCAATTTAAGTTCTAAAATACAAAATGAAAAAAAGAATGGGTATACAGATGTTCTAATATTATATGCTTTGTCAGACAAGCAATCAAATTTATCATAGCAAATCAGGTATCCACATCCTCACTCATACAACTCAAATCAATTCTCCAATTTCCAAATTCTCATGCATTAGAACAAACAGATGATTTCCCAAATCTTTTTTTCCCTAATAAACGGGGTGAAGATTAAATAAACGAAATTTCAATAACAAAAACAGAAAATAACCGAAAACTAAAAAGTTAATAACAAAATTTCTATAAGACAAATAAGTCGACAAAAAATAAAAACTATATAACTTCTACCTTTGTTAATAGCACTAGGAAGCAACAACCTCCGTCTACACAATGTAATGAATTCGTAAGGGCTGCAACTAATAAAATTCTAATATCATCCGATTCATATGATTTTGGATCATTTAGGTCTTGGTCCAAATGAAATGATTTAATAATCAAAGTATGAAAGTTTTGACCACCTCATTTTGAAACTTCAACGTAATGAATTCTTAAGGGCTGCAACGAATAAAATTCTATATCACGAAGACACCAAAGTCCTTCACGAATATCCACATGAATAGTGAGTCACAACAACATAAGAACAGAGAAAATATCATCAGTGACAGTTACTTTTTAACTTCACAAAATCAGACTACATAATAAAGAGATATTTGCATTTGAGTCAACTGATAAACTAATACAGGAAAAAGAAAAGAAAAGAAGAAAACACTCTAAAAAAACAAATATTGCACTCACACTTTATACAAACCAACACCAGTGTAACCTATGGGCTTTTATACAAGGACCAGAGTCTACACATAAAAGGAAAATACCATTCATAAGAAATATCCCCTAAGGCAAAAAAAAAAAAAAAATAATAATAATAATAATAATAAGAGCTTAAAACGCTAGAGTAGAGAAATAGGAAGATAGTACCTCGTGATTTACGGCAAAAATTGGGCAATGGCAAACGATCATGTCTTGCTACACAATTCTTCACTGAAATTACATAACTCAACCCCAAGAAGTAAAAGAACATTATCACCACCGTGTGAAGTAAAAGAACATTATCACCACCGTGTGAAGTTCAAGAACGAGCCTTGTCAAAAAAAAAAAAAAAAAAAGTTAAAGAAAGAGAAAATTGAAAACCAAATCAAAATATGAACTTGAAATATGGAAAGAGAAAAAGATCAGTGTTTGTTAACTAATTTGTTAACAAAAAAGATAGTATCTCGTGATTACAGCAAAGATTATGGTTCTTTCAACCATGAATTCGGTAACAAGGTAAATACAATCATAAACTAAATTGAAGCAACAATTTAAGCATAATTCTTGTCAGTTTAAGCATAATTCTCGCTGTATCAGTTATCTAAAATCAAAGATTCAACATCAAATTCTAAGTAAACCTCTAGATATAAGAATCTCCTTCGAGGCCAGCTTTTAAACAATTGTTAGCTTCTTTTTTTTCTTTTTTTGGATACCCAGAAAAACCTTTAAAGATTTCTATATTGATTATAGATTATGTATACTATACAGCAACACAGAGAAAACCAAAAGCAAATTCAACATACCTGTCCATATGCAAACAGAGACTATGGATGCTAATGAGAGAGTAGGGAATAAAGAGGGAGAACAGAAATCGATGGGAAAGAGAGCAGGGAGGGAACGAAGAAGAAAGAAGCCCTTCATTCATCCAACACTTTTGGTTTAAAATTTTCAACGAAAACATTGTCGTTTTGGTCAAATACAGTAGCAAGTTTTGAAATTTCTATATTAGCTATAGATTAATATAGGGAGAACATTGTCGTTTTGGTCGAATATATTGCAAAAACGGAACTGTTGAAACCTGCCGTACAATTTTCAACAAAAGGTGCTCCCACAAAGTGGAAAATATCAAGCTGCAACAGAAAGTTGAATTAATGAATACCTTTCGTTTAAGAAGCCGGAGAAACTCACATCCCCGTGAAGACTTTACCTGTGTCTGCAACTGAATCGAATGTGAAATTTGCCCATTGATTGTCAAAGAATCATTGGAATTTTTCTGAACTATCATTTCTTCTTCATCCGTCTTTGCGCGGTGGCCTCATTCACACTATTACCTAGAAATCCATAATAGGAATTTAGTAATAATGAAGATTCTGAGACTGCACATGCAAGGAAAAGAAAAGTCACAAATGTTAAACTTCAATCAGTTTAGAATTTGGGGAACAAACTTTGGAAGCTGATCATACAGCTATTTATTGGAAAATATGACAACTTTCCTCGATAGAACTCATTTTCCTTAGCAAAACAAAATTCAACACATTTTCTTTCTAGAACCTAAATATCCTTTTTGGATTAAACATTTTTATAAGAAAGAAATGTCAAATGGAATAATTGCATCAATCACGTACAATTAGAAACCTCAAAGAATCAAACAATACAAACAATTTGAACAAATTATAATAATAATAATAATTAAAAAAACCTCTTATAGACTCAACAAAATCCAAATCAAGCCCTAATTTTACTCTGTCGATGCAAAAATGCACTTCACTTTTTCCTTCAACAGCTAAATAATAGAACTTCACAGCCAGCTTCCTCTTAAGAGGGTTTGATGACGGCGGTCGCGGCTGGAGCGGGCTCTTCAACTTGGCAGCGGAGAGCGCCGGCGAGTGCTTCGGAATCGGACGTAAAGAGTTCAGTCCAATGGCGGAGCGGTCTCCATGGAGTTCCGCGACGGCCAGGGCTTGGCTACGCTAGGGTTCGGCGACGCTGGAGACTCCATCTTCGTCTCCGTCAAGATCGCATTTCTTGTTTGCATGAAGTGCTTCATGGCTGCGAAATTTAGAGAGAGAAAGAGAGAAGAGGGGAGGGAGAGAGAGGGTGAGAGAGTTTTTCTTTTTCGCTCAACAAGAGAGGGTGAGAGATTGATTGATAGGGTTTTTGGATTGGGAATGGAGGAGAAGACAAATGAGCGAGAGAGGGGAAATGTAACCGTGGGAGGAAGACTCTGGAGATTTGCGAATATGATTTTTGGGTGAAAATGCACATCCGTAGGGATTTTTTTAGTTTCTGTTGATTTTTTTTTTTTTTTTTTGGGTTAATCTCGTTGATGGTTTGTGTGTTAGTGTTAATAATAATATGTTCCGCAGGGGCTATTCTATTTTTCGTTGATTATTTGTTTGTTACTGTTATCATGTCTATTTCGTGAGAGAGTCATATACAAAGAGAAAACAGAAAAGTTTTTTGAAATTTCTCTTATTTTTTTAATTCTTTTTATTTATTTTTTGAGAAATATTTTCATTAAAACACCTCAATATATTTAAAAATTAAAATTACTCTCTTTTTAAAATTAAAATCCCTCAAAGTTTCATAAATAACCTTATGTGCATCTTTTTTATGTACACCCCATATTTTTCTACTTCTAAAAACGGTTATGAAGTAGATTTGCTTTCCCTTTTTTTTGAGAAATATTTTCATTTAGACCTATTAAAAAAAATTAGGAAATAGTATAAAATAGGCCAATATGAAAAGTTTAAGAAAATAGATAAGCCAACTTTTAGTTATAGAAATTAATAGGCCATAACTTGTCAAGTTATGGTTCATAACCAAATAAGTTATGGACAAACTTGTCAAGTTATGGTTCATAACCAAATAAGTTATGGACAAACTTGTCAAGTTATGGTTCATAACCAAATAAGTTATGGACAAACTTGTCAAGTTATGGTTCATAACCAAATAAGTTATGGACAAACTTGTCAAGTTATGGTTCATAACCAGACAAGTTATGGACGAAAACACTAATTTGGCCTATTTATTAACTTATGTAAACTATTGGCCTATTAATTTTAATTTATCTCAAGTCTTGGCATATTTTCCTCTTTCTCCCTAACTCAAATCTTTTAACCTCCATAATTTTTTTCTTCTCTTTCATTTTTTCAATTATTTTTTTAAAATTGAACGGGATAATATTTATCTTTTTGAACTTGAACGTTTTTTTTTTTCTATTTTTTTTCCTTTTTACTATTTTTATGTGAACTTCAAAATTATTTTTTTTTCAAATTCTTTGATTATGCCTATGTGATTAAGCTCTTCTAATATCATTATCATTCATAAAAAAATAAAGTATGATTAGAAAGAATAATGTGCAGAGTTTTTTTCTCATTTTTTTTAATTAAAAAAATCAATGCGTTCATCTTTTTCTTCCAACAAAATATAATTAAAAAAAAAGCAACCCTAACAATTTCAATAAAACAAAACACAAATGAAAAAGGAAAAAAAAAAAAAACCCCCTACATTAAAACTTAATGAATCTTTCTCATCTTGCTCCATTACTTGGTCAATTCTCTACACTTTGTGTTCTCCAACTTGAGAAATTAAAGTGAGAAGAAAACACTCAATTAAGTGGAGGAGAAAAGATTCAAATGGAGTTTTCTTTTATATGTTCAAATGAAAAGATTTCCCATAAAAAAAGAGAAGAAATTAAGTGAGAAGAAAACACTCAATTACATGGAGGAGAAAAGATTCAAATGGAGTTTTCCTTTATATGTTCAAATGAAAAGATTTCCAAAAAAAAAAAAAAAACAGAGAAAGTAAATCTTTTTAACAAATCATATTTTATAAAAGAGTATTTATGGAACTTTGAGGGATTTTAATTTTAAAAAGAGAATAATTTTAGTTTTTAAATACATTGAGGTGTATTAATAAAATCTTGGGTGTAAATAAAATTTCCCATATTTTTTTCTTTTAAATTGTGTGTCTTGAAGGAAATGGGCGTATTTTTTCGTTTTGGGGTGATTGAGAGGAACACTATTTTTAGGGGCTGGAATTAAAATATGTTATTTCTTTAAAAAATTTGAATTTAATTTTTACATTAAAATTATATGGACAAATAATTAGATTTAGAAAATAAAAATTTAAATATATAGTAAAATTTTACTAGTCATATTGAAATATAAGAAAATTTAGAATATTTGACAAATAACAAACATTAGAATTACTATAATATTTATAATTGCAAACTTGAAAACTAAAACTTGTACATTCTTTTTCTTTTTTTATATGGACAAAACATCGGTTCTAAATAAATTTTTGCAGCAAATTACACAGTTGCTCCTCGAACGTTGGTCGTGTCCCGCGATATCCCTTGAATTTTAATTCGTAACATCCCTTCTTTCTGAAATTTAAAACTCTTGTGAAATTTCTCTTTATATTAAATTACTAACGGAAAATGACACAGAAAATGACACGTGCAGTATATGTGATGACAATTTTAAGGGTATTTTAGTAATAAAGAACAAACGGCACATTCCTCATTGAATGTTTAACGAAATGGATTAAAAATTAAAGAAAAAAATTTTAAAAATACCTGAGCAATGCACCTGTTCTAAAAAGAAAAACACCCCACTATGGCCATCCATATCCATATTACTTGGTCAATTCTCTACACTTTGTGTTCTCCAACTTGAAAAATTAAAGTGAGAAGAAAACACTCAATTAAGTGGAGGAGAAAAGATTCAAATGGAGTTTTCTTTTATATGTTCAAATGAAAAGATTTCCCAAAACAAAACAAAAAAAAGAGACGAAATTCAGTGAGAAGAAAACACTCAATTACGTGGAGGAGAAAAGATTCAAATGGAATTTTCTTTTATATGTTCAAATGAAAAGATTTCCTAAAAAAAGAGAAAGTAAATATTTTTAACAAATCGTATTTTATAAAAGGGTATTTATGAAACTTTGAGGGATTTTAATTTTAAAAAGAGAATAATTTTAGTTTTTAAATACATTGAGGTATATTAATAAAAACTTGGGTGTAAATAAAATTTCTCATATTTTTTTCTTTTAAATGGTATGTTGCATGGTGTCTTGAAGGAAATGGGCCTATTTTTTGAAAAGTCTAAAGACTACTTTCATTTTGGGGTGATTGAGAGGAACACTATTTTTAGGGGCTGAAATTTAAATATATTATTTTTTAAAAATTTTGAATTTAATTTTTACATTAAAATTATATGGACAAATAATTAGATTTAGAAAATAAAAATTTAAATATATAGTAAAATTTTACTAGTCATATTGTGTAACGTCCAGTTAAATTAATTGAGATTAATTAATTAAATTCGGTAGTTAGTGTTAATTAATCCGGGATTAGTAAAAGATTCTCAGTTATAATTATCACGTAAAGGACCTTTATCCTTTAAAAATGATTGATTTAAAATTGACACTGCTATCCCCCGAACAGTTTTTAGTATTAGTAAGTAATTTTTCAGAATTTGAATAATAGGCTATTTCATACTTTATTCGAATTGGGCTTTGAAGTCTAATCATCAAATTTGCATAGAAAACCCAAGCTCATTTTTCCTTTTCCTTTTCCTTTTCTTTTTCTTTCTTTTTTCTCCTTTTTTCTCTCCTTCTCTCTCTCTCCCAAGTTCACTCTCTTTCTCCACGCTGGCCAACACACTCCGATGAGGATTCCAATTTCTGTTTTTGACACCTCCTGACTCGTTGTTAATATCTCAACGAGCTGAGCATGTTGACATGTCGCACGACCTCCAACTCCACCAGAATCAGCCGCAATCGCCAGCCAAAGTTTCAAAAACTACCAAAACTTCTCTCCATCGTAACTTTATCGTCCGACCTCTGATCGGAGTGATTCTGATCCCTACGGACTCAGCTCGAAGAGACGAAGAAAGCCCAACCAGTAGCATCCCTCGACTCTCACCGGAGCTATGAAATCTAGCCGCCGCCGCCCCTCATCGAACTATGCCTTTTCGGGCATCGTGAGTGACACTGTCAGGCTCGTTAGACTCAGAACAGGACGTTGAGCAAAAGTCCTAACTCAATTTTGAGGTTCCACCTCCGATTGCCAGAGATTCAGGCTCACCGCCGCCGTTGTCGTGTTGTAGGGTAGTTCCAACGATCTAATTGCTAGATCATCGCTATTTTGGTGTCAAGATGCTCAGAAGATCACGGGTAATAAAAGCCCGCAACCAATTTTGAGATTCAATAGTCAGAGAATTAAGATCAAAGTCGCCGAATTTTGTCACCATTTTTTAGTGTGATCTGAGCAGTTAGAGGCCAAATTTGGTGAAATTGATTCCACCATTGAACTCAGGAGGTCAAAAACTGGTGGGAACCAAAGCATCATTGTTGTCCGACCACCTAAGCCGCCGCACGCGCTGCCACGCGCCGCCGCGTATGGCCGACTCTGGCGAGTCTCAGTTCTTGAGGTTCCCGACGTCCAATCGAAGATCTGATTCCATAGCCCGACTTGTTTTGACGCACTAAACGCAACGGTGACCTCTGTTTGTGCCAATTCTACTATGTTGAAAAGTCTACCGATACCATGAACGCGGATTGAGGCAAATCGAATGGAATCGTTGAAGTCAGAGCGAGCCGTGGAATTGCTATCCTAGAGGTAGGATATCCTTACCTATATCCTTGTTAGCCTTGTTTCAAAGTATATTGGCCTATGAAAATGTTTTAAAGACAAAACATGTTTTAGAAATAGCATGAAAGATATTATTGAGCTCATAATGAACTGAATTAAGGTTTTAATAGATATTTTCTTAAAATAAGATTTTTTAAGAACTGGTAAACCCGCTGATGGCCTAGATATCAAGATATGGAGATCGTATTCTTGGGGGAAGAACTCGAAACCCGGACAGGCCACTCTGGTGGTGATAAGGCCTTGCATTGGTCGTAAGTAATTTATCATTAAATTACTTACTGGCTGCCTGTAATTTGAAATTTAAGTTTATTTACCTTTTAGTAAAAAGGCTGTTTGGTTCTGAATGATTCTTTCGGGCCTATATTTTCATTATTTATTCGATTTTATAAAATTTTATTCTGCTGGACATTTCACTCATTTTTCCTCTATTTTCAATGTTTTAACCCCTCCCACCAGAGTTAGTAGCTTGACTAGCACCAATAGATTGAAGGCACAAGATTCGAAGTGGTTAGTTTATTCTGAATTTGCAGTTTTTATTTCTAAGTTCTATTGTATCTCTGTATATAAACTATATTGGTCGATACTGTCCCAGAGTTGTATAATTTTAAACTTTATGGATTGTTTTAAATATTTTAATATCTATTTTGATATTTGTATAT